TAGCCTCTTCACTCCTGCCACTCAGGTCCTCTCTGACACTGTCCTGTTTCCTTTTCTTCACAGCGTGTACTGCAAAATGAAATTATATTGACCATTTCCTTGTTTTACCTGTCTTCACAAAAAGCATGTCAATTCTAAGACAGTAGAGACCTCCTTTATCTCGTTCATTCTCGTGTCCTCAGCACAGATACAGTGCCTAGTACAGAGGGGGCATTTAGTCAACATCTGTTGAATGAAATCTGGTCATACCACACCCCTCACCTCAATGGCTCCTTCTTCCCTTGGAAATAATATTCGAGTTTCTTGAACTGGTTTGAGTCCCTCTGTGATCTAGTCCCTGCTTATTCACTAACTCACTGGTTCTCAACCAGGGGCAGCTTTGCTTCCCCTCACCCCCAAAAGAAAGATATTGGCACAGTCTGGAGATACTTCGGGCTGTCATAACTATAGGATGCTACTGGCATCTAGTGGATAAAGGCCAGGGATGCTGCTGAACGTCCCGCAGTGCACAGGACACACCCACAAAGATTGATCTGGTTGGTAGTGCCTCAGGCAAGAGCCTGGTTGTGTCTTTCACAAGCCTTTATCACACTCAGTTGTAGACTCGCTGGAAGGCGTGTTCTTCCTGTGGCCTCAGAGCCCTGTACTTGCTGATCTGTACCTGAACCCTCTCCTTGCCTTGATTGCCTTGAGGCAAGTACATTTTTTCATCTTTACCGTACGGAGTTCATCTGTTTTGGCAGTTTCGAGTTCTTAAAGGTAACTTCAGTTTCTACCTCAAGTTGAAAGTAACGAGGATTTTCTTCATGTCAGTTGTTTTAGATGAATAAACTGCTGTTACTGAGGACTGTGGTACTACCTCTGTTACTTAATCCACTGGTAGAAAATAAATGAGGTAATTAATAAAACACCTATGCAGTTAGACCCTGTCATTAAAGTTTCTCAGTTTTTAGATACAATGTGGGATGTTTATGCACAATGTGGGATGTTTTAATTTGTTTTTCCACATTAAAATACTTCCTTTTTCCCCATTTTATAGGGTTAATATAATACAAGCAGTTCTTTTACACCAAAAATTATGTGTAAGATGCCTTTAAAGAACAAAAGTGAGCCCTGGCTGGTGTGGCTCGGTTGGTTGGTGCATCAACCCACAAACTGATAGGTTGCACGGTGGATTCCAGGTCAGGGCACAGGCCTCGGTTGCGGGTTTGGCCTGGGTTGGGGCACATGCCAGAAGTAACTGATTGATGTTCCTCTCTCATATCAATGTTTCTCTCCCTTTCCCTCTCTCTAAAGTCAATAATCATGTCCTCAGGTGAGGGTATAAAAATAAAAAATTAAAGAACGAAAAAGAGATTTAGGTAATTAGAGCTTGCCAATTCCTGTTACAATATTTCAATACCATAATAAGAAGTTGATCCCAGTGTTACCTTTTGATTTGACAGTTTACTTTTATTCTGTTCAGGAGACGAGGCTTTGTGGCCCTGCTTTTGTTCTTCCCCAGTGTTCCCAGTATTGTGGCCAAAGGCAGATACGTCCAGGTGCTTGGATTTGTAGACCCCCACACAAGGATTAGGTAGTTACATAGATTTTAGTACCTCTTAGCAATAGAATTACAGCCCACTCATTCATTTTAAAACTACAATTTGCATTTATGACTTTCAAATCAGAAGACTTTTAAAATAATTGTTTACATAATGCCCTACTTGAATGCTGGTGAGTTTATAGACTACTTTAGATCAGCTTATAATGTGAATTAACACTGTGCTCACATTTTTTTTTTTTTTGCCAATCAAAGGTTTTTTGCACAGATTTTTAAAAAGTTTTCCAAAGGACAAAACATTTTAAAGAATTTTTAAAATTAAAAATATTCTCTTTGCCTTTGCATCTACTATGTTCCTAGCACTGTATGATTTTTCTTTTCCTTTTTTTTTTTTTTTTTTTTGGAATGTTTTAACTTGGTAATGGTAGGTAATGGGGTTAAAAAATCGTTAGCTTATCAACAGCTTTATCTGAAATTTACACATCAACTTTGCTTAGAAACCCCAAACAGACACATTTTATCTGCCCCTGCATTTGGTTCTTTTTCCTCTTACCGTTTAGCCCTCAAGCCTATCTTAACTCAGTTCTATAGTTATTTACTTATTTTTTTCGACCACAAACATTTTCACTGAATCCCCATTCTTGGACCAAGCTCTGTTCTAGAGGACAAGGATACTTGGTACACAGAAGGTGATCCCTTTCGGATTACATTAATTGTGTGAGATAAACCCTGTCATGGAGAGAGGTATGAAGTACTTTGATGATATAGGATTTTAAAATGTCAATTCTGTGCCCTGACTGGTGTGGCTTAGTGGGTTAGGCAACGTCCCACAAACCCAAAGGTCACCAGTCTAATTCCTGACTAGGGCACATACCTGGGTTGTGGGCCAGATTCCCAGTTGGGGGCATATAAAAGGCAACCAATCGATGTTTCTCTCTTACATCGATGTTCCTATCCCTCTCTTTATGTCTCCCTTACCCCCTCTCTAAAAATAAATACATTTTAAAAAATTGAAAAAAATTCAATTCTGCTTAGGGCATTGTAGATTTAGGAGAAAATGGAATACAGATAGTCCCCAACTTATGATAGTTTGACTTTATGATGGTGTGAAAGTAATATGCATTCAGTAAAAACTGTACTTTGAAATTTGAATTTTGATTTTTCCCCCAGCCTAGCAATGTGCAGTACAATATTCTCTTTGATACTGGACAGTGACAGTGAGATGACCTTGCCCCACTGTAGCTAATGTAAGCGTTCTGAGCACATTTTCAGAGGCTAGGTGAAGCCATGATTTTGGCAGGTTAGGTATATTAAATGCATTTTCCACTTAATGATATTTTCAACATACAGTAGCTTTATCAGAATATAACAGCCTCCTAAGTCAAGGGGCATCTGTACTTGAACTGGGCTCCTAGATAGGAAAAGGGCAGGGGGGCTGGGGTGAGTGTCAAGGTGGAAGGACTTGGTTGTAATCATTCTTGGTCCAGAAGCTCAGTGGTCATCTTTATTTCCTGTTTCATTCCTAAGTGATGTAACCAGAAGTACAGTGGCTTAATCCTTTCATCGGCTATAATATTGTACTGCATTTTGAATAGATAATTTGAGTTAGGTTTTCCATTCAAAAGGAATAATGAGCCACCTAAGACAGAAGGTCATTGGGATAGGAAGTTGCCTAGTTGTATTTGTTATATTTAGCTTCCCATGTCATTGAGTAGACCCAAATCTGCTGTGGAGGTCATGTACATTTCTTCATTTCCCTTAATTCTTTCCTTATCTCCAGACTTACTGTACATTACAAAACTGCTTTGTTTGAGGTATTTCTGTTTTGGAGAGTGTTGGGGTTTTTTTTCCCTCAAAATTGATTTGGTTCTGGTTAAGGGGGAAAACTGAAGAGGCAGTTCTCACACTGTATTTCTGAAGAGGTTCACACTCCACAAAGAAAATTACTATAGAAAGAAGACATCTAGCTAAGAGTCTTTCTGTCCTTGAATTTCATCCTCAAGAACACTTATCTTGGAAAATGATTTGACTGGTCAAAGGCATCTTTATAGGAAGAAGGTGGGTACAGGCATTCGGTTAAAACATTCAGTTTTGACTGGAATAAAAGAAATAACTATCGAAAGTTGGTCTTTTAAAAGGATCCCTCTAAAATGCTGGCCACTATTAAAGATGATCATTTTGAAAATTCCAGCTTTTAATTCGACAAACGGCGGCCATCGCTCTGACCACCGGTGTGGAGAGAAATCCTGTGCGTGGTGCTCCTGCCACTTCTTGTGCCACGGAGCTCGCGACCGTGCCCTGCAGACAGGGTGTCCGGCCCGCGCCAGTGCCGGACAAACGCCTTCGGGAGGCTGCAGGGGCTCGCTCTGCTGACCGCCCACCTGTCCACTGCCTGTCCCCTCCTTTGCTCGTTTCTCCTCTCTTCTTGGGCTGCATTTCAGTGGCAGGAAGAATGAGGACAGCTGGGTTATCGAGTCCTGAATATAAAGTATTCATTCTACCAAGATTCAGTATTCTAAAACTGATCCTCCCCTCCCCCGGCCATGAGGGAGCCCGCGGGGTGCTCCGGGAGCCCCACTAGGAAAGCGCCCGTCGCTCTCTTGGGAGTGGAGAGCTCGGACGAACCCTTCCAGGGTCGTAACTGTTGTAAGTGGGGAGAAGGCACCACCTCTGTTCGGACTTGCGTAGTTTATTGGATTCATTAGGGCAAATATTTCTATGTCCCGAGAAACCTGCAGCTCCTACGAATGAGCGGAGAAATGCAGCAGGAGGTGCGACATGCCGTGTGTGCGAGCGAGTGGGGCGGCCCGGGGAGCGGCGTGGGTGGGAGCTGCGTGGGCCAGCCGCGGAGAACTCCCACACAGGCGGGCACCCGCCGTTCAAGCCCCTGTTCGAGGGTCGGCCCTGTTTTACTGCTTCATTCAGTGCTCTCTGGGTGCGGGTTAAAATTTGCCACTTTGAGGACATTCCAGCCCTGTCTGCATTCTAACAGAGGCGACACCATCACCTGTGTACTTGAGAATCACCAGCTACCCCTCTGCGAGTCAAAGGCAGGGCCTCCCTCCGGGAGTTTCGGGGTTCGCCTCCTCCCCCCCCCGTCGCGGTGGGACTCACCGGCAGTGGTGGGGCGGGGCGCGCAGCCTGGACGCGGCGCTGAGCGGGAGCCCCACCCCTGCGCCGCAGGCCTGCAGACGGCGCAGGGCTCCTTGGGAGGACGGCGCGGGGCACCTTGGGAGGACGGCGAGGGGCACCTTGGGAGGACGGCGAGGGGCTCCTCGCCCCTCGGCCGGGTTCCGGTGCCGGGTTTAACCTTTTTTTCACCTGGACTGAGTGAAGGCATTTCTACTTGGCATACATACTAAAAATACAAAACCTGGGTTGGCCAAGCATTCACATTAAATAGCGAAGAGAATCTGTGTTGGTTAAACGTGTACACAAGTAGTATTGTATTTTGTAGAAGCCGTTATGGGATTTTGCTTCGTGCAGACTCAGTGACAACCGAGGGGCGGCCAACGGCCCCCGGCCTCGCGCAGACGCAGTGACACCCTGAGGGGCGGCCAACGGCCCACAGCCTCGCGCAGACGCAGTGACAACCGAGGGGCGGCCAACGGCCCACGGCCTCGCGCAGACGCAGTGACACCCTGAGGGGTGGCCAACGGCCCACGGCCTCGCGCAGACGCAGTGACACCCTGAGGGGTGGCCAACGGCCCACGGCCTTGCGCAGACGCAGAGCCAAGCCGAGGGGTGGCAAGCCGTCGAAGCGCTGTCCCTCTGCTCCTGAAAGCTTGCGTGCCACATTCTTCCATTCTCTTCCCCCGCCTTTTGACCGGATGGCTGGGAGCTGGCATCTGCTGTGGGCCGGCCGGAGGGTGGGCGCTGCGAGAGCGACTTTCCTGAGTCTGGGCATGGCACCGTGTCCCCGCCCGCTGGCCTGCACGCCACTCCGACGCCCGTGGTCTGTCACCCCCGTGTCCAGGATGGCGACTGTCAGGGGCGAGCTGATGAAGAACTTGACTTCGGAGGCGGCCGTTCCTCACAATAAGGTGTCCATTATAGGGACCGGCTCCGTGGGCATGGCCTGTGCCATCAGCATCCTGCTGAAAGGCCTGAGTGACGAGCTGGCCTTGGTGGATGCCGCGGAAGGCAAGCTGAAGGGCGAGACCATGGATCTGCAGCATGGCAGTCAGTTCGTGAAAATGCCACACGTCGTCGCCAGCAAGGATTACCTCGTCACCGCCAACTCCAGCCTCGTGATTATCACGGCAGGAGCGCGCCAGGAAAAGGGGGAAACGCGCCTCAATTTAGTCCAGCGCAATGTGGCCATCTTTAAACTGATGATTTCCAGTATTATCCAGCACAGTCCGCACTGCAAGCTGATTGTTGTCTCCAATCCGGTGGACATCTTAACTTACGTAGCGTGGAAGTTGAGTGGGATGCCCAAAAACCGTGTTATTGGAAGTGGTTGTAATCTGGACACTGCTCGTTTTCGTTTCTTGATTGGGCAGAAGCTCGGGATCCACCCCGAAAGTTGCCACGGGTGGGTCCTTGGAGAGCACGGCGACTCCAGTGTTCCCGTGTGGAGTGGGGTGAATGTCGCCGGTGTCCCTCTGAAGCATCTAAACTCGGACATAGGGACCGATAAAGACCCTGAGCAGTGGAAAGATGTCCACAAAGATGTGATTGCCAGTGCCTATGAGATTATTAAAAGAAAAGGCTATACTTCTTGGGCCATCGGCCTTTCTGTAGCTGATTTAACGGAAAGTATCTTGAAGAATCTTAGGAGAGTGCATCCAGTTTCCACCATGATTAAGGGTCTCTATGGAATAAACGAAGACGTGGCCCTCAGTGTGCCTTGCATCCTGGGAGAGAGTGGAATCTCGGACCTTATCAAGGTCAACCTGACCCCGGAAGAAGAGGCTCGTCTGAAGAAGAGTGCAGAAACACTTTGGGAGATTCAGAAGGATCTCAAGTTTTAAAGTTGCCACAACTACTGTTCTGGAGTTATTGAAGAAGAGATAGAAGTTGTATATGTTAATTTTAAATAAACTTAGATTCCTAAAAGTTGGGACAGGATGGGGTAGAATGACTCCCGTTTGTTTAGCCTCCCAGCTCTTTTATTTAGCATCTGGTTCTGTTTCTTTTTAAACATTTCCTAATTGACTGCATCAATGGTGTTTTTGTACCACTGATGGACTAGTACTTACCTTGAGTTTATATGTGGTTGCCATTTGACCCAAAGGAATGTGGAGTGTAGGTATTTTTTGTGTTATAGAAATATTCTTTTGTTCTAGCTGGCTGACATACTATTTCATCTATTTATATACTATTTTTTTAAAGTTGTAATTTGATCTACAATGTAAAAATAAATGTATAGAAGTACTTTCTGTAATGGAGCCATCAGCTGTCTTCACTCTCCTGTGGAAGCCTATCAGAGGGCCTTCACAACAGCATCATGGAAAGGTAGCTGCACGTAGGGGCTGTGCTTTAGTGTGTTTCTGTGTGAGTGTGTGTGGTGTGGGTGCTGTGCACACCCCATGCCAGAGAAGCAGAATCGTTAGGTTAGAATATGAAAATAATAGCAATCAGGTTGTGGCTGTTATGAAGTGTTTAAATGCAGTAAAAAATATATAAAGCTTTTAGGAAGAGGCCTGACAATCAGAGGTGGTACAATTACTGTCATTTATTTGGCAGAGAAAGGAAACATCCCAAAATTGTTCAGTTACTAAAAATAATGCCTGATTGAAATAATTTTACCACTGCCTCTGAGATCATGACCTGTTAGCATTTTAAATCAGGAAGCATGTTCTAAGTTGTTCTCATTGGGCCGAGGCTCGGCCCTGGGCCACACACTCCAGGGTCATCTGTGTTGCTCAGTTTATCTCACGTTAATGGAAAGCTTTTGCTTTTGAATTGTGCCCTGTTGTTAATCATTGTCAAAAAAATTGGCCAATTCCATAAGTACTTTAGGGACTATAAGTCTCAAAAAGTTACATGTCCCATTTTTATTCCTAAATTAGTTGACTTTACAACAGATTTTAGACTTTATACATGTGATACAGTGAGCATTTGGGAGAAAGTGAACCTTTAGCTAAATGATAGTTTTGTAGCTTAGAAAGTGGACATTTTAAAAATGTGTGTTAGCTTTTCTAATGCAACTGAATATTAAATAAACATATGGTATGTTCAATCATACCTTAGGATCCACGTGGATATCAACAGGCCTAATCAAAAGTGAAGGGTACTAGCGTCTGCTGTATACACTAAGCCAATTCTGCTCTAGTTGAATTCGTAGACATAGGACAGTGATCTGTCCCGCAAAAATGACCCTTTACTGTGCCAATCAAAGTTCCCATACGATTTCACTGAAAACATGTAGAAATGTTCTGATTCCTCACGAAGCAATGTCATAGCCCCCCAAAGTGGGGAGGGTGGTCGTAAGAACTGTGTAAGCTCAGCCTCACAGAGTTTCTCTTCTCCTTGGTCCAGCCCTTGAGGTTTTGTGCAGCCACGTTTCAGCCGAATGCTACACTGAAGGGCACGGGAGCCTGCCTTACATCTGTTTTGCAGTTCTCTCCACCATTAATGTCAGGATAGGTTGGGCTACGCTGCAGTGAAAAACAGCCTCCAAATGTGTGGGTTAAAATAAAAGTTTATTTCTGTCTCATGTAAAATCCGCTCTGGGTTTACACGACGCCTTAGAGAAGCTGCCCACAAGCCAGCTCGGTACCTCAGGTTTCCTTTCTCTCGAGGCTCCGCCACAGCCACACCGGTTTCCCTGGTTGCTCGGGAAAGGGGAGAGGGGCCTGGAGACCCAAGCAGCTGTCGTGGCTTCGCCCTGGAAGTGACACACATTTCTACTCACATTTGATTTGCTAGCACTGCTCACATGGTTACCTAACTTCAAAAAGGGTAAAGAAACATCACGCTTCTGTATCCACAAGTAGGAGGCTGGTAATAATCTGCACGCCATTCTAAATAAAATGGTGACCACTGCAAGAGGTATATACGTTTCTAGAGTGATTTTTAGTGACAGCTCATACATAGTAGATGTTCTGGAGGTACCATCTTGCCAGGTCACAGAAGCAGGGTGACTGTCAAGAGCAAGCCCTGGACACCCACTACGCAGTTGTGCTTACTGCAGACCACGTCAGTACGAGTGGGTTCGCCTCCGTGGCCTCAGTTTCTCCATGTGAAGTGGTCCTCGCTTCTGCCACAAGGAATTTTGAAGGCTAAATAATAGCGTGAGGTCTGGTACAGTGCCTGGCTTGTAAGTGGCCCCAGGTGGCAGACATTATTTTTTCTGTTCAGGTAACATTTAAGTTTTATTCTGTTTTAGTTTATTAAGAAGCTGAATTCCCAGGTTCTTCAAAGTTATCAATGGTGCTGTAGTTATCGACATGTCCAAAGGCTTTTTCGTCCATCAGTCCCACAAAGCTCTCGTCCTCATTCTAATCCCAGCCCCGAGGCAAGCAGCACACCTGCAAGCGAGGAAATTGGGCTGGTCCACAGCAGAGACGCTTTAAAACTTGGAGCTTTTAATTCTAGTAGCTGCCTGTGTAGTAGAATCCATGATGTAAGGATTTTTTAACTTAAATGGGGGGCATATCCTGGAGCTTTGTACAATTGTTCAGCACACCACATATCAGACCAAAAGTTTTCAGACTCTTTCCCCGTCAGGACATGCGTGGTACATGCACAGCATACCCCAGGCGGTGCTCCTGGCACACTGGCTCTCTGGCCTTTCAGGAAGCTGCTGAAATGTGAGTGAGTGACATTATCAGAGATCCAGTCTTGAATTGTTCTACTATCTAAAAAGTCAATTGTATCTGTTCTTCAGAATGTGCAGACTAGGGGCAAATTTCTGGACATCATGACATCCCCTTTAAGAATTGCTGCCTTGGATGTAGGTACCATCTGATGATATTAGAACCCTGAATTTTTGGACACGAACACTGATGCTTTAAGGGAGCTGAGGGTGTGCCGTTGTCTTTATGGAGAGCGGCCCCTAGCAGGGCGCTGTGCACAGCAGTGCCGCTTTGCAGGGCAGCCCTCTGGCCCGTAGCCTTGGGAGAGTCCTCTTTGCTAAGAGGGAAGGGAATTGACCCCAGAGTTTAGAAAATGCTTCAGAATAAAACTGACTTGCTGGATGGAGACACGAGTTCCCAGCATGCCCCATCTTCACCGGATTTTGGGGTACAGAGTAGGGGGTGCTTCTGTGGCAGTGGCTGTGATTGTTATCGTGGAATGCAGTACGTTTATAACCAGGTTTGCCAAAATGTGCGCAGGCCCTGAATCTTTTCAAGCACAGTTTTAAGCAGGGGGTGTTCTATGGGCCTGCAAGAAGAATATCACTGATAAGACCGACGCCTTCTGTGAACTGTGTATCAGAAATTGATATAGGTGAAAAAAACAAGGGTTTTCATTTACTGTGCATGTAATATAAATTGTATAAGCTGTAAAACCTTCTATGGAGTCCCATTGTTTAAAGCAACTGGAGGCCTTGTTCATAACTTCAGTGTCGACTCTGGCTTTCCATTCCCACTGCTGTGAAACTAAAGAACAGGGCTGAATGGCGTTCTTTATCCCACTTGCCTCTCTCCCTTTACCTTGCTCTGAAGCCTATCTGTTCCTAGTGGGCTGTTCTGAGATATGATTCCTTCTAGTGGTTCAGTTACTCACTCAGGACCCTGGGAACACATGAATAATACAACACTTGAGAAATGAGAGGGCAGAAAAAATTGTGTCGAGAGGAGGAAATGGGAACAGAACCGTGCTGATGTAGGGCAGCCGCCCTCTCCTCGTCTGCCCGGGCCTCCTGAGCATCTCCCAGGCTCATCCTTCCAGGCTCCCTGTCACTGAGAAGGCGGAAGGGCAGGCAGTTCTGTGCACGCGCCGGCTCTTGGACACTCCAGCTGAAAGCTGTGTCATCGGGCTCAGCTGTGCCAGCCGTGCAACCAGAAAAGCGAAGGGAGAGAACCAGGAAGCACCTTGCAAACCCGAGCCAGAGAGACGTCTGTCTCTCCACTCAGAAAGCCTCAGGCACGTCTCCTCGACAGGGGCACCTGGTGTTTTGGACAAAGCAATTATTTTTTCATGTGCCATCCTGGACATTTAGCATCCGTGCCCCTCAAAAGCAGAGTAGTAATCCCCTGTGACTGTGACAACAAAAAGGTCTACATCATCAGTCCCTTCCCAGAGGTGCAGTACTGCCTCCAGTCAAGGACCTCCAGGAGGGGTTCATCACGGTGCAGACTCGAGAGCTCCGTGGGAGAGGGGGCTGGACATCCCGCGGGTCTGGGACCTGCCGTTGACACGGTTGGCACGGACCTCCTACAGACCACCTGTGGTGGGTAACCTATGTATCTTCTAGTGTCGGTGTTTAAACCAAAACAGTGTATAACTGTAGAATAATGCTTTCAATAAACATGCCACACTATTTATATCCACGTATGCTGTGATCAGAACCATAGCACAGGTATTCTGATGACGCCGTAAGGAAGTAGTTCATGATATGGAGCACTCACCACATGCTAGGTGCTGCGCTTTGCACGTGTCATCTCTCTCAAGCCTCACGACACTGTAGGCGGGGAATTATGTCCACTGCACACCTGGGAACTACTGCTTACAGTGAGCAGCTTTCCCGGGTGCTGGCCTCGGATTTGAGCAGAGAGGTCTACCAGAGCCCATGCGGCTAACAGCAGTGCTGAGATGACCGGAATGAATGCCTACGAATTTACCGCTTCCAAACAAGAGGCACACCCTGAATTTGGAAACCAAGTAAGGATTCAGGTTCAAATTAAAATAAATAAGACAGAAAACTGTACTTGAACAATAATTAAATTTTAAAAATGCTTAAAAATAAAATAAATAAGCATCCCCATTAAAAAAAGAGGTCGACTTTCAAAACAACCATTGGAAGAAGTGAGGTGCTGCTGAGTCCCGGGTGCCTCACACACCCCATCAGGGAGACCTGTACCCTGGGCACGCACAACTGGGATACGGCATCGGACAGGACTGTCTAGATTACACAGAACCAAAGCGCACATAGTAGTACCATCTAATCTAAAAATCATCCAGCCCCCGTAAATCAGTGTTCCCCCCGCGGGCGGTGTGCATTGTAGGTAGAGCCAGGCGCCCCATGACGACCCTGGATATGAAGATCTTCCAGCCCCCCTCCCCCTGCCTGCAGACTCCAGATCAACCTCTCCTGGTGAAACCTCTCCCTGCGTCTTTCAACACTGGCTGGCACGTAAAAACGTTCTAGTTTGTCTGCCATTCACCGATTCATTCTTTTATTAACCCCCTAGTAAGTTTCTTCTCTCCACCCCTCTCTGGCTCTAAGATTCTTCTCACTTGGACCAGCCTGACTGAGTATGTCCGTGGGTTTAGCTAGTCAAATCTCATGCTTGGCTGCATCTTTACGTGTGAAGGCCAGCCGTGCACACAAAACTACTGTGGGGAGCCTGTGCGTCCCAGATTCGGAGTGGAGGTGTATGTCATTCAAGGCCCAGTAGATGGATATTTAGAAGAAGAAAAGAGGTGTATCTCATTTTCCTTCAGAGTGGCCAGGACACAGTTCCTACCTTTTGTTGGTCTGCCTTTGCTCTTGTAGCCTCGAGCAGTGAAGTGCCCTCCAGTCACCAGCCACAGCCTCTCTGACTGTTTGGCACCCTTCCCTTCTTTTAACATTTGACGATGGACTTTTTCCTTCTTTTAGATGAAAGACTTCAGAAGTAAAATGCAATCCATATTTCCAGCAATTCCCAAGAACTCCAAATCTGCTGTGGAGTGGGAGGAGGCCCTGAAATCCAAATGAGATGAGCGTGGTGGGTGAATTCCAAAACGGTGGAGTGCAGAAAGACAGCAAACAGCGAAGGGACTCGTTGATTTCCCCTCAGGAAGGACACGCAGACTATTGTCCGAACCCACGGGATGGACGGCGTTCGGTGCGTTCAACATCTTTCACGTTCCTTGCTCACACAGGAGTGTGTGTGTGGTGTTGCGGGGAGGGCGAAGTTTTCCCAAAGTTCAGAAGACTGTAAAAATAACGACACAGACAACTTTTCTATGTGGAGGAGATCTCCAGGGAATCACTTCTGTGTATGCCTGCAACAGTTGAAACTGAGTTTTTACCTGATGGAAAATCTTTGTAACAGACTCCTCCCAGCAGCAGTACCCAGTGTGTCTAATTAAATGAGTTTCAGTCGTCTGGTTCTCTCTCTGTGACTGCCAGACTGTGGGAGACTCGTGCCCCCAGGCGGACCCAGGCTAACGGGAGAGCCTGGATGTGGGCAGGGCGGGGCTCTGAGTCAGCTCTTGGGTTCGCAGGAGCTGGTGGTGCACCTGATGACCCGCCTTCCGTCCTGTAAGTTCTGACCTTGAGACAAGGAGCCAGTCTCAGATGATGAGAACTTGAAAAGGTACAGCTGTGCTGAAGTAAGAATAATGATATCATGGGTATAAAATGGGTTTGAGAAATGGGTTCTTAAGTATTAATTGACAGTTTGTAGTGTTGTCAATGTAAAAACAGCCCAATTATCACCTATCTTAACAAGGATCACCTGAAATTGTCTCAATATTAAGTACTGCCTTGCTGATGAAACTGGTAAATTATTATGTACACACTCAGCCCTTTTCTGTCCTCCATGAGCTTGCACAGAAAACAGAATAATGCCTAATTGCAATGAATTATTTGCACTGGAGATTTAAAATTTTTTAAGGAAAATAATTTGTCGGTATGTCTAGAAAAATAACCTCTGGTTAAATATCAGTTGTGCAATTTCTTTATCGTTGCTCAGGCCCTAATTAGCAATCGGGTTTAATAAAGTATATTTGAAATTAATCTGTTCTAATGAAACTTTTTAGTTGTAAGGAAACATTTTAAATGAGAGGTCAAGTGCACAACATAACACTTTTCTCTGGAGCACTTTACCCATTAAAACTGCTGTATTATTAATTCAGTGGGTGTGATGAGCCCCTGGGATTCGCATGTAACCTGCTGAAAATCCCAGACTAAACAGAAAAAAAGTGTGAAGTTGATCAGGGTACGTGGAGTCGCCAAAGCTCTTCACCCACCTTCATTTTTAACTAAATCTCAACTAAGAAAACATTTCCAGCTGGTGCTTCCCAACCTCCTGGGGGGTTTCCCCAGTGGAGTCTGAAAACGGCCCCCTCACTCGGAGGGCGGGGGCGAGGGAAGGGGAGGCAGGCCCCGGCCCGGGTGGGCCGCAGGCTTCATGAGCAAAGGCACTGCCTTGCGGGGATGGCCTTGGATGGCCTTGGGCAGCCGCAGGCCTGCGTGCTTTTCCTTTTCTGCACCTGTGCACCTAATCTTCAAAGTTTACGTGGAGGCCCTGACTGGGGTCCGTCACGCACACTGTCCGTACTGTCTCAGTGCCGCCTTTCTGTCTCCAGGCTGTGTCCTTGCAGTCACTTCTGGGAGCCAGGAGGACAAAGATTCCAGGGGTAGGGTGGGGTAGGAACCTCCAACTGCCAGGGCCCAGCTCTCAGGTCACCCGCACTCACGTCTCCTCGGTGACCTCCCTCAGCGCTAGGCTTGGAGTGAAATGAGGAAAAGAAAAGCTGAAACAAAATAATGTGGGCCAGGTTCACGTCCACAATATTAGTCCGAGTCCAGGTCACCCTGACAGATGCAGGCAGGCCACCTACAACTATTTACAGCTAAAGTCTAGGTTTTTTTTTCTTAGATGGAGAATAGTTACTGATTTTTTTTTAAAGCTCTCCACTGGGTAGGGGAAAGTGAGAATTTCTAGCTTGTCTAAGATAATAAAAGGGAAAATCATTATTAATCTTGATTCTATTTAATAGATTCCTGCCTTGTAAGCTCCTGAAGGGTAGGAACTCCTCTCAGGGCCTTAAACCTGTGTCAAGAGGGAGCTGGGCCTGTGGGGGGACGCTCTGTCCTCACAGGGTGGCAGGGACGGGAGGACTGAGTACGGATTGAATGGCTTGCCTAATGTTCACAACCCTTCCCACATCTGTACCCCAAGGATGGCAGGGATCACAGAAGAATGATCCTGAGTCACTTGCCGGACGGTTTGATGGGGGCGGAGTTCCAAGAACAGGTACCAAGCATAGGTTCTGGTTGCATCTTAAAAGGAAAAATGAAGTAACAGAGATGAAAATTAAGAGGCAAGCAGTCAGCGTGATGGCAGTGGCGTTTTCCTGCACTCAGAACTCAGATATGAGAAGATTTTGTCATTTGTCTATTTCTCTTATACCAGAGCCATATTGTTAAATTGGTTAATGGAAAGGAAAAATGTTTAACAGATAATGTTATTCTTTATGTGAAGTACCATCTGTGTATTGAGTTCTGAATGTTCCTGGCTATGGAAGAGAGGAAATGTTACGGAATTTCAAGTTTGCCTTCTTCGCTGTCTTTATCTTGGGTAGAGTATGACAAACATAATCACATTTATCTCCTGGAGCATAAAGAGTTTTAATCACCCTATTAACCAGGATGACATTTTTCACAGACTTAAAAAGGAATAGAACAGACATTATCTCCCCATAAGCAATCCATTTCATGGAGGCTGAACACCAGAAACTTTTCAAAGGCTGGATAACGCGAGCCATTTTCACTCCACGTGTAAGCCGACATTAAGGCAGCTTTCGGTAAGAATGTTGCTTATACCAGTTGAGCGTTAAGCTTTATATTTAGAATCCCAGCCCTCCAAAGAGCTGTTAGCGACAGCAAGATACAGAAAATGTGGTGGGCAGAGAAGAAAAGTGTGGTGGACTTTTGAGGCCTCAAGATTAAGAAAAAAACATGTATTCTTATGAGTTATTGCCGTCCTGTAAAAATGGACCTGTGGGCTGCTGTTATTTTCAGAGCCAAGAAACTGTGGGTGCTGAATAACCTGGGAATGAAAACCAGGGCACGGGCACTGCCTTGAAAGGTGCCTGGCAGCCTGTCTCTACATGAGACACGGGTTCTGATGACAGGGGCACCCACAGCTGCCCAGGCCCAGGAAGCTGAGGTGTAGCTGCAGGTGTGACCCTCACTGTATCTCGCTGACACTGGCTGACTGGTGAGAAAACCCTTCTTCACCTGTTCAGTCAAAAGCTGGCACCTGCCCTGGCTGGTGCGGCTCACAGTGGATTGAGCCTCAGCCTCTGAACTGAAAAGCACCAGTTCAATTCCCAGTCAGGGCACATGCCTGGGATGTGGGCCAGGTCCCCAGCTGGGGGTGCACGAGAGGCAACTGATAGATATTTCTATTTCTTACCCCCTCTCTAAAAATAAATAAATAAATAAATAAATTTTCAAAGGTGGTGCCTAATCTTGCCTGTTTTACATTTTTCTTAGTTTCATGGGTAGTAAGGGACTCAATGTGCAAATTAATTGTTGCAACCTAAGGGGGAAAATATAAGAAATTAAGGTGGGGGGAGTCCATGGGGACAAAAGTAATTAAAATCCACTCTTTAGCTATTTCACTAGGGGCAAAATTTAATCTCCTAGGCTTGGTTCCTGGAGAATGTTGTCTGTTTCACCTCATTTTCATGTATTATCTCTAAGAGTAAAACAAAAACAAATACAGTAGCTAAGTACAAATGAAAATCAGCTAGGTAAAATTAAAATTTTTTTCCAAACAAGTTTCTCATGAAAGGTAGCAGAATACACATTATTATAGTACTTTATCATGTTCAAGTGATGTTTTTTTTCCTTTCTGCCAAGAGTCATGAACTCTCTCAGGCATTTGGACTGATACTGCCATTTCCAGGACTAGTTACCAAAGGCTGTGATTTTGTGAGTCCAGGAAGGAAGCGTGGTGTCTCCTGTGAGCAGTGACATTCATCTGTAACAGTGAGCGGGGCTGTTGGCCAGTTTTGTCTGATGGCAGGTGACCAGTTTTGGAGAGAATTAGAAATGCGGTTACCGAGAAGCAGATATGTATAGATTCAACTTCTGTCCTCAAGCATTAGCAGAGCGGTTTGGGCCGGACCCTTTGCTTCATCATTTGATGATCACTTAGTAAAAAAGAAAACGATAGTAAAAAGTGGATGGTATGTTCCTGTTCTTAACGGCAGACGGCAGAAGCCATCCTTCGAGGGCTCCGAAACTCAGTCTGCCAACAGGGGAAGCTTGGCGCGATTGCGGGGCGCCTGCTCCCCGCTTCTCTGAAAACGCTCCCAGACCTCCTTCATGCTGCCCCTCACGCCTGTGCTTAGAGCGGGGCTTCGGGTCCGCAGCCTGACACGGGCAGTCCACAGGGCGGACCCGGGTCTCTAGCACGCATGGCCCATTGTCTGAAAGGGACCCTTTAACAGAACTGAGTGTAAATGGAAGCCTGAACTTGACAGTTCTTACTGAGTCCTGCCAAACTCTGCGAAGCCCCTTTGCCTCGCCCCCCGGGTGATGGGCCTGTGCTAATCTTTATTTATTGCTACTGGTCGTCTACTCCACCCGTCTCTGTTGCAGGGCCTAAATCCCTGTTTCCTGCTCTGAGCAAAGCCCAAATGGTAGGCAGCCTCATCTGGACACCTGCCGGGGCATCTACCGGCGTGGGCCATCGCCACACACCAGCCCCTCAGCCCGGGTCCTTCCATGTCCCTTCACTCCACAGTGGCTCGGCTTCTTAGACATCTTCCAGTTGGGACAGAGGTTACAAAGGCAAGGAAACTCCAGTGTAGTGAATGTCTTGCAAAGCCAAAATAAGGCCTCTTGTCAAAGACAAGAGTGATCAAGGAAGCCCTTTGCTCTGAGCTTGCTCGGAGGCCAACCCTGATCCTCTTTTGATAGATTTTATTACAAATAATTGTTGTACAATATCTGTGGGAAGAGCACACCGTCAAGTCTGCTAGCCAACTCCCCGTCTCGGAGGGAGACTGGGCCAACACAGTGACAAAGGCGGTTCCACCTGGCCGTCGAGGACACGTGGAGGTCATTGTGCCTCATCCAGGCTTCTCCAGAGCTGGAGGGGAATGCCACTCCCACCCGCAAGATGGGGCAAATCCAGCCGAACACATCTCCCATCCAAAGGTGTTCCCGAGGGACCCGTCCGAATGCAACATGTCTGATTTATCTACAAATAATGTGGGATCCGCATGTTCTTCACAGGAGCGCCTTTGCTTTAACTTCTCAATATTTCAAATCTTAGTGAAGAAGCAGGAGTGAGGGCTGGGTTAAAAACAGGGTCAGGAGAGACCCCAGAGAGGCAGCAACACCCCTGAGTAAAGCGGCCATTC